GTTTATCTTGATGGGTTTGTTTATAGTAGTAGGATGTTAGTCACGTTATTTGTAAATCAAGTGCAATGCAAGAAAACATGACACTATTAATAAGGCAGAAATGTGCCAGTCAGCACGTGAGTCAGGTAGCTGTGCTTTTACAATCCTCAGCCACTGTCAAAAATTCCATTGTCTGAGAGGGTTCATCAACAAAGGGTTCTTCTGCAAAGCACTTTTATCAGGGAACGATGAGTACATTTAGGCAACTTTGAAATCATGAAAATTTATTCTTACTAGTACATACAGTTCACAGGAATTCATATAGTAGTAACAGAAAAACAGTACTCTGCTGCTTTTAAGCCAGAAACATGGACCTGTCAGTTTCAAAGTAAAAAAAAAAAAAACTCCAACATACACTTTCACAAACAATTCAAAGTGCTATCATTTAAAGGCCCGAGGCAAGCTTCTACTTCTACTGTTCCAAAATATCTAAGAGATTGGAAAAGAAATACACATTTGGGCTAGCAGTTACCCTCCCATTTGAAAAACTGCATATAGTATTCAAGGGAACAAAAAGCAAAATCTTCTTTCACTCAGAGCAAGACAAAAGAAGATTGGCTACATGGAGTTATAATTCAAGAGACGTTCCAACACTAATGTAGGAATTCCTATTTGAAAAGCATTTGTTCTTCTGTAGGCTTATATTCACGGGCAAAGAAGCCTGTAACCTCTCTGTAAAGCTAAAGACAGAAAATGAAAAATAGGTTAAGAACTCTGCCTGTGGCCACAAGATCCCAAACAAAACAAACACAAAAAGCCCCACACATTGCAGGCACTGGAGCTCTTGGTAAAAGGGGAAAAAAGGGGAGAGAAAGGGTCATCTGGAAACCTTTTTCAGAGATTAAGAGGCAGCTTCTTGAGAGGGGACAGATACTTTACTTGTCACCCAACAGAGAAAAGGAGGCAGTGAGTACTAGGCACATGAGAATACACAGTTGTTTTAAACCAGCAAGATAATGTGTTTTCAGATCCTGTCTAAAAGGGCTGAAACATTTAATCCTAGCTACAGAGACAACACCTAGATAAGAACTGAGCTTCTAATTTATTTTGTCGTGAAAGACAGGATGGAAGGCCTAAGGTATAATTACAATTAAATTAATATTTTCTTATGACAACTTCTAAGCAGGTTTCTCTTTACCCTTCCTCTTTTCTATCTAGCAATAAGCTTCAAAGTGTTTTGATTTTAAGGCCAGCTCTCTGAGGATGAGGAAGGGAAAAAAGCAGGGAGCAGGACAGAAGGAGACTTCTTAAAGAAGACGACTGCAGCAATTTCCACCACTGCCATGTCTGAAACAGAGGTGTGAACAGATGGCAGTGGGTTTTGCCCTTCAGTATTTGCTGCAGCACAGAGACCCATTAAGCTTTTGTAGCACCTTACAGTAATCCAGAGAAAAAGTGACCTGGCATAATCCAAAAGCTACAACACAGTGCCACAAAGCTCATCCTTCTGCAATGAAGGAGCCATAGAATCTATCGCTGACAGTGTCCCCCCAATGAAGTCACAGTCATGAAAAATCCACCAACACAAGAACTGTGAGCTGAAGCATGCTTTGGGCCACGTTCCCAGCAGCGGTGATGGGTCAGGCTAGGTTCAGCAGAGCTACAGCCTAGTTCAGACCCGCAGAAATCCGATCATCCACAAACCACACAGGCCTACTGGACAAAAAAAGAGGAATACCGCCTGCAGGTTTTGGCCCAATGGCATAAGAAGGATGCTGAAAACTGGAATGAGTTCAGCCATCAATATGCTCCCTCCTTCTCCTCCCCCGCCACCCCTTCCAACACATAGATACACACACTCTTTGTTTTTAACAACCCTCTGGCACACATCAAGAACCTTATAACTTAAGGATACTTAGGAATTTCCAGAGAAGTATCTTACCCAGCATAGTACTTAGTGCTGACAAACTCTCCCTTTTCAATAATCAAGGGCAAAAACTGACTTTCAAGAATTTGTTTTTGGAGAAAATGAAAGTGAGAAAATCCAGAAAAATCAGATTTCACAGGAGCCATTTCTGAATTGTGACTAATGCAAGACACCAGCAGGATGCTGCTTTATCCTTAAGGAAGGAACCACCTGGTTATCATAACAGAGGCAGGGATATCAAAACCCCATCATCTGCAAACAATCTCCCATCCAACACCCCACAACCATTTTTTCCCAGAGCTCCTTCTGATCAAACTCAATCTTCAGAGGAGAAAAGCTGTTTCACACCATTGTGTAAAAGCAGCACTCTCTCACACTCAGCTCCTCTGCTAAAAGGGATTCCACCTGCCCACGGACTGCCACTTCCCCAGCCTTTGAAAAGCCACCAAGAATCCCTTGATCCCCGGCCAGCAGCATGCCCTGGCGCAGAGGCTGAGCTGCACCCACCTCCGCTCACCTGGCAGCCTGTGCTCTCAGGCGATAGCTGCAAAATCATGAGTTCTCAGACTCAACTTTCAAGTTCTCAGGCAAGCCCAGACAGGCTTCATACTTACAAAACACAAGCAACTAAGTGTTTAAAAGGTTGACTACACAGGGCTACCAAAAGTAGCATTACTGAACCTTTTTGTTTCCCCAGCCTCAGATAGTCCAAGCAAACAAAAAATCTCAATGCTCTGTATTTCTAGATGATTACAGCAAAGAAACACAGTGATCCACAGGGACAAGGCTGCCAGCATCACAACCCACCCTACAAGAGCGCAGTGTTTTTGTAAGAGGTATAAGGTTTTTATACAGCACCTTGCCAGGTACCATTGGCCAAGAGCTTTTAACTGGACCTCCTTCAGGTCACTGAAGAGTAACTCTGTGAGAGGGAGCCGACGAGCTTTACAGGCAAAATAAAACTATCTTGCAACATCAGCACTGACAGCCTGCTACATCAACAGCCAGGCTGTTATTGTGCCCAAGTCACGCTAACACTAAAATTCACCAGCACCAGGAAATTCAGCAGCACGGCCTCCACTGAATGCTGCAGGTTCACAGATCATTGCTGGGTGTAGACCCTCAACAGGGTATTTTGAATTTAGCTTCTGTTTTAAGTTCTTCCAATGCACTGGAGTTCTCCATACTAATTTCTGGACCATCAGCAGTGACAACCCTGAACTACGGAAGGCCTTTAGTCCCACCCATGCAAGTTTATTTTCCTTCCCTCCAAAAATCCGCAATCATTCCCAGGCTTACAATCTCCCTATATATCATTCTGTGTCTATAGAACCAGGCAGGATTCACTTACAGAATTCCTGCAGCTGTAAGGGAAGCTATGAGTTTGTTATTATAAGGTTGCTTTTTAATTGTTAATAGAACAAACTTAAGCTATGGCAATATTGAAGTAGAAGAGAGAGGATGAACTTAAAAATTCTCATATGTGGTCAAGGCTTTAGTTTAACACTCACAGAATGTAAGGGGTATAATTCAAAAGACAGGATCTGGAGCATTTGGGAGCCACAAGGAATGTTGTGGGTAGGTTACATCTCAGAACCAGTACAAGCTGAACCAACACTTTCCAGCTATGGAAGCAGAATGAAACCTTCTAGGCCAGTTGAGCCCTTTCAATTGGCAACAGCAGGTTAGGAAACAAGGGCCTGAACCCACATTTCAGGTGCCATGTTTAGAAATGATTGGAGGCTCCCTTGGATAAAAGGTACTTCTCCCACTGAATCCATCTCTGCTCTATCTGTTGCTCAAGGCCATTTGATCTGACCACCAATTTTAACAGCAAAAATGGACAAAAATGAGCAGCACCAAGCAGAGGGTCCCAAAGACATCACCTCCAACACCATCTCAGCAGGTGATCAGGGACTCCGGGAAAGGTTATCCATACTCTTTTCAACTTATGCATTACTTACACATTGCCTGTTACATGTGTATAAAACACTGGCTTTCGGGGAGATTTCACAGTTTTGCTTAAATGCTACTTATTTTTGCCCTCAGAGGCAAGATTTTGATGCGCTGGTTCAACCGAGAGCGACCAAAGCCTCCTGAGGAGAGCTGAGCTCGACCAGCGTCAGGCAGAGCCACCCGACACCGTCCTTGGCGGCGGCCAGCCCCGCCGATCCCGGCTCCTTCCCCAGCCCCGCCAGCGTGCACAAGCTGATGCCGGTGCCGGCATCCCGGCACAGCCGCCGCAGGACGGGGAAGCTTCCCGCAGGTCTCCCTCCGGCTCCTGCGGCTCGCACCTACGGCAGCGCCGGCGGGGAGACCCGGCCCCTCTCCCTCCCGCTCCTCCGCTCCTCTCCGCAAAACGCGTCGGGGCGCCCATCCCGCCTACCGGGAGCCGGTCGGAGCACCGGGGGCTGAAACGCCCCGGGGCGGGGCGGGAGCGGCACCGCCGCCGCGCCTCCCGGTGCCCCCGGGCCGAGCCCCGGCCCGCCCGCCAGGCGAGGCCGGCGGCGCTTCCCGAGCCGCCCCACAAAGTTACCGCCGGAGTCCCCGCGGCGGAACAAAAGACGGAGCGGGAGCGGCGGGCGCCGCGCCGGGGGCGGGCGGGGAGGGTCGCGCCGCCGCCTCGGCCGGGCAGGGGCGGCTCGCCGGGAGCTGCGCCCGGAGCGCTGATCCCGCCTCTCCGCAGCCGCCGCCAGCCCGTCCCGCTCTGCGGGCTAAGCCTGGGACTCGGCTCCGGCCGCACCGGGCGGGGAGGAGAGACACGGGGGAAGGGGGCGGGGGGCTCCATTCATTTTCGGGAGCACCACCGGGCAGGAGCGCTCCCGGCCGAGGCCGCGCCGCGGTCTGCTCACCTTACTCTTCACTTCCACCGCGCTGCACTCCAGATACCGCAGAGTCTGAGATTTGTTGAAACTCCGGTTCATCTTCCCGGCCCCGCTGCCTCCCCTTCCCGCGCCGCCGCCGCCTCCCGCGCGCCCCCCGGGCCGCCCGCACGAGCCGCCGGCCCCGCTCGCGCCGCGCGCTCCGCTCCCGCGGCCACTTTGTTCCCGGCGCGCGCGCGCGCCAACGGCAGCGGCGGCGGCGGCCGCAGCGATCCGCGCGGGGCTCGCGCTCCGGCTGGGCCGGCGGCGGGCGGGCGCCTCGGGCCGGCAGGACACGCCCCGGACAGCCCCGGACACGCCCCCGACAGCCCCGGACTCGGCCCGGGCACGCCCCCGCTCGGCCCGGACACGCCCCTCCTCGGTGGCCGCGGGGCTCCGGCGCAGCAGGGGTTGGTGCGGGAAGCGGCGTCCCGGGCGGCTGGCGGGCCCCGCTGCCGCAGCCGCAGCCGCGCACGAAGCGCACCCGCTCCCCGGGTGCCCCCCAGCGCTCGGAGGTGCCCGTTGTGCGCCGCAAAGCAGACCCGCACCAACTTTTCCAGACTGCGCTGATTGTTCTTGAAAGAGGGTTGGGATCTGGAAAGTGCTGCGAGTCATTAATTTGAGACCACAGATCACCAGGTTTGGGAGGAGAGTTTCCACCACGCCCTCCTTGAAATAAATCGGTGGATTGCCTCCCTCTGCTAGCAGCTCTCACTAATTAGGTAGGTTATTAATTTGAGAATCTCGAAGGAACTTAACTTCTTTACGTCTTCTGCCAAGGATCTTTTTAATTTTAACAGGCCTTTTTCCTTCAGTCAGCATCTTTTAGTCACTCGGAGCCTTTGAAAGTGGTATATTTTTTTCCTACACAATCCTGCCCAAAACATCAAGTCGTGATGTACAGAAGCTGAGGACACAGCGCAGACCTGTGCAACCAGTTTTCTGCTGCTCGACATCTCCTAGGATCGTCTGCCGGTCTAAGTAAAGAGCACAAAGTCCTAACAGACAAAAGCCACCCATCTCTTCTCCAGGTGTCAATGGCAGTGATGGGAATAACCACGAATTTAGGGGCAAAAAAACAAGAACTGAGTTGACTTTTCATGTGACTCCAAGTAGGAGGATCAAAGCACATGGCCCAAATACAAACCAGCTCCATCTTATTGGAAAATAGACCTGAAATGAACATTTGCCACATGTTCTGGGCTTGCACTGTGTTTGGAAGTCTTGCTGTAAGTTAAACTGCAAAAATAAAGTCTAGAGAGCTGAGAAAGGAAATGTTTGTATGAACTTGATCTTTCCTCTTTTCATCTTAGCACGAGCAATGCAGCAGCTTTGCTTTCCTGCTGTGATGGCCAAGGCCAGGCTGTGGAGATACAGCATCCCTGGGGTGCTCAGAGGCTGAACAGCCCTTTCGGGATGTTTCAATGTAAAGATGGATCTTGAAATCCAGCAGCTGGTTCGGAATGATTTAGTACTTCAACATCTGGAGCAACAAGGCCAGTGCACTAGCATGAAGTTAATCAGTAGCTGGAGGACTGGTCTTCAGTCCGGTTTTTTGAAATTTTTTTTCAATTTCTTTGGTCAGTTTTTGGGGTTTTTTTGTGGTTTTGGTTTTGGTTTTGTTTTTGGTTTTTTGTTTTTTTTTTTTTTTCTAAACAAAGCTCCCAATAGACAGAAACCAGCAAGAAATTTTAGTCTTAATTTTAAATTCGGTACTTGTTGTATTTGTGATGCCCATTTGAGAAGTACACATTAAACTTGCTTGACTTTTATTCTATGCTTACTTCAGGGAGTACAAATGTTTCATTACCATCTCTTTTATATTAATAAAGACTCTTCAAACTAATAATGCCTACCGATTTGTGTGTAACCAGAGTGAGAATCCAATGAAAATTAATTTTAAAAATATATATATCTTTGGGTGAGATAAAAGCTGGTAACCCATACTGAATTAATAGAGAATGAAGATACATGTTTCAAAGCACAAAAGAGGGGTTTATTTACCAGCAGAGCTGAAGGGATTTCCACTCTCCCTTCCCCAGCCATTGCAGATCCTGTTTGTATTTCCACCACCACATGAATAGACAACCCTCTTCTTCTCATCTACCCTGTCTTTGAAGCTAACAGGTATATTGATGACAATATACATATACCTGAGTGGACCTAATATTTTTTCTGTTTCTTCTATCCTACAAGAATTCAGAAATGGTAGATTACTGCTGGTCCTTTTTTCTTTTTTCTTTTTTTTTGATTCTCCTGTAAGAAAAGCTGCTTTTTGGCTGTTCCATTCCTTCCCAAATTTTCAACCTTGCATTAAACATTTATTATAGAAACAAGGTGAATACACTAATATGAGAGAATATGCTCTTTATATCACCAAAGGGGCTACTGCTAGCAAGGATTCCTTTTAAATTGCTTCAAATAAGTCTGATTTCTGCTGTTTTTTCTCGATCTGAGTTAAATATCTATTCTTTTGTAGGTGAGTGTAGGCACCTTTAACTCACTCTGATCTGAGAAATTAACAGTTTCTGGATAGCTTATTAATTAAGCAGAAATTGGGGGTAATGTATGAGAAACTGGCTGTATTCTATTGTTAGTGGAAAAATAGAATGTTACATAAGTATTTATAAATTATGTATGACTTGTCGATACTATTTCTTAGTAGCATTTAATAATTTATTAAAAGTGAATGCTTTTCAATCAAGCTTCCCTGAACTCCAACACGGTCCATTCTTGTAAGTTCTTTAAGATACACTTCCCTTTCACTATTTCCAAATTAGTTGCAGCTTTAGTCCATTTCCTCCAGAGCAGAGCTGAGGCATGATTGGGACAGCTTGAGAAAATTCCTTTTTTCCTTGCCTCCCCTTTCCATGCCCGTGCTGTACACGTGCCGGCACCGGGGCCGCTCCCAGGCCACCCCAGCCTGGGCTGCACGAGGTGCAGCAGCCCCAGCCAGCTATTTTCCTCCTCACACTCACTCACAAAGATGGTTTTCATTTAACTGCTTTTGCTCAGCCACCTTTCAGGGGTTTTGTTTTTGGATTTTTTGTTTTTTGTTTCCTCATCGCTTGCCAAGGGCACAGCATTCCTTTGACAATTTCTATAAATCTTCATCTGTTTTAGTAATCTGTGGTTACTTTACCCTGTTTCTGACCTGCAGAGCTATTAAATCACCATTTCTTCCCACGTGCCCATCTCTCAGCCCTTTCTTGCAGCCTTGTTCCCAGATGCATGTGGAATGTGGGGGGCACATTTGCTGTCACCCAGCCCCTTCCTGCACACAGCACTTCACAAATACTCTTATTTCTTGCCCTAAACTGGGCAGTGAAGTCACAGTGTAGGGATCCTAACAGGCCATTTAAAAAATATGCAGATTCTCCTGTTTTCACTGCTTTTCATTTACCAGACCAACAAAAAGTGCTGCAACATGTGCCAGACTCACATTCCTGCAATGCTGGTTTTCAGCTTGCAAGAGGCTTCCCTCTCACTGCTGCGTACCTCATCAGTATTAACAAGTCATCTCCATGTTCTGAGAGGGAAAAAATACCCCAGACTCACATCCAAAGAGTTATTTTTCTAACTCTACACCCTGCATTGAACTTTCAAGAGTTACAAATAGCACATCTGAAGGGCTTGGAGAAACTGCTGAAACGACAGACTGCTTTTGGTTTCTTTAAATGTAAACCAAAATGAAGCATAGCACGGAGAAGGGAAGAGGGAGGATGACAGCTATTGTTTTGCTTGTAGCAAGCAATGTTCCTGCCAGGGTGAAGATGGTTTCTACTTCATCAAACGCAGAGTACAATGCCAGGGAACATCCAGTGCCCTGGTGCAGGAACTACCTAGAGGGGAACAAGAAAAATAATTCCACCAGCCACAATAGTAATGGATGCTCCAGGACCAGAGACTGGCTGCTCCAATGTTTTTCCCTTGTTTCATTCCTTGTGGCAGTGAAATATCTTATTTTCTTTCCTTTTAAGAGCTTTTGCCTTCAGGCCTACAAGAGATGTATGTGCAATTAGGAGGAGAAAGAGCAGAGAGAGGGGAGGGCTGTTTTCAAGGCGTGGGGAACCTGATGCTCCTTTTCTACCAATGATATGAAGCATTTGAGGAAACCTCTTGTGTGACTTTACTACAAAACACTTGAAGAAGGGAGACCAGAGCAGTAGTTGAGGGAATGGCACCTGCAGAGCTCAAAATCAAGCATGAGGATGAGCACTTACCGTTGCAGCTCCCAGTACTTATCCAGAGAGATGTGCCAGGGGGAGCGGATGGAGGTCCCCAAGCTGTCTGTGCACAGGTACTCTGGCTTCAGCAGATCAAACCAACAGGCTCTTCTGTCACCTGAAAATTTTCCCATTATTTCCCATATTATATAACCAGATATGCTTTGACATATATCAGTGTACCAGAATCCCAGCAGCCAAACTCTGAGCATCACAAGAGAAGAAGTAGGGTGGATTATGAGATCATGTGTCCCTTTTCCAAATTACACCACAGCTGGGATTAAAAGCAGCAGTGCTTTACAAGGATGGGAAAGGTGAATTTTGTTGCCAGATATAAGTTTAGGATTGGAAGGAGGGAAGAGAGAGGATCACGCTCCTTATTCTGCATCCGAAGTATGCTTTAACTACATGACTCACCAGGATTCAACATTTCCCATGAAATACAAAAATATTCAAACTTTATTTGTTCTGTGTTATTTCTATGGTTTTCCCCCTCTCCACGCAGCCCCCCCTATGAATCCGACTAGCTCAGAGATATGGGGCTGTGAGGGGAGGAAATAGCAGGAGAGGGAAAAGTATTCAAAAGAGGCTCTTACCCCAAGGTTGTTGGAACAGCTCTCTTTATTCTGTGGTGTCCATGGAGAGCGCGGCAAAAGAGGAAGAGGAGGAAGTTTCAGGGGTCTATATAGGTTTTGGACAGGGTGGGCTCTCCTGGCTCCCCGCCAACCCCACTGGGGCAGGGAGGAGGATCCAGGGGTTATCTTGATCAGAGCCACAGAGGCCCTAGGAAAGGGGGGACAAAAGGGTGTCCAGGAGCTCACTGTAACAGTTCTGTACATGAATTTGCTGCATTTAATGATTTTTAGCACCCTTTCAATTGCTTTGATTCATGGGTTTCTGCTCTTTACCAAGGAGAAAAACATGAAAAACAATAACGTTTCCCAGATGTCATTCATTGCAGCAGAGAAATAGATACCATCCCCTCAGAGTGTCCAGAAGTAGGTCCTTCTATTTCCATGTAGGTTAAAAACTTTATTTACAATGTGCTGCTCTGCAGATAGCAGCTACTCATGATGTTAAAATGATTACTACAAATACTTTTAAAATATTATTGATTTAAAGGAAGTACTGCTGATCACAGGCCTAGGGTACGCAAGCATCTGCCTGGTTTTCTTCTACCTTTGTTGCTGATCCTACTTCTACAGGAGACTGAAGCACAGCTGGAAGTTGGCAAGTGCAGCATACATCTTCTAATTAGTCCAATGCTATCAAATAATTTATGCAGATGGCATCAACTTATTCTTCCCAAGCATTTTTTTCTATGTGAAACTATGAATGCTGAAACACACTACGACACTGGAGTAATTTTTCTGCAGTAGTTACCAAATTTTCTAGTGGGGTTAAGCTGACCAAATCTGGAAAGAAAATAAGTGTCCTTAATATTTCCAAGTAAATGTCTTTTGGAGAAAACTGCTATCATGAAGATATAATCACACTTTCCTTTGAAGTGCTTATCTAACTTGCTCAGTGAACAGAGAATCCCGCCTGTGGAACTTTTCTGCCATTCTTCTCAATCACGAATTGGCTTTAATCTCTTTTGAGTAACAGTTTAACTCATTTGAATGCAATCTACCATCTTTGTTTCCTGGCAGCTGAAGAGTCGGGTCTGGTAGCAGAGTAAGAGAGTATGAATTTTGCCAGGCTGGCTCACTCCCTCACCAAGAGCACAGAGAGGTTTTTAGTTTTGCATGGAATGCAATTGACTGCAAAGAGAAACCAGAATCTTCATGAGAACGTAATTTATTGAGAACTTCCACTTGGAAAGTGACTGAGTGTCACCTTAAATAGACAAACCAAATATTCCTGAATTGCAGCTTTAGGCAATTTCTAAGGCACTATGTCTAGCTAGTAAGTCAAGCCCTCTCAGAACTGGTGATTTGTGGTCTCACCTGCTAATAAAGGAAATAATAAGAAACTTTCCTAGCCATGAGAGTCATACAGCAAATAAATCTTTTCAGTTTGCTTACTGACTTGAATTCCTAAAA